AACAATCTTGCACAACAATATGAAGCTTAAAGCTTCTCTTTGTATGGCCGTGGGCGGCAAAAAAACTAGGGAGCATCATACCAGAAGATGTCCGGGCTTGTAACAAAAACACTCTATTCCCTTCGCAGTCAATACATGTGGCAAATCTTTTGCCACGTTTCAAAAAAAAAACTATGATTATATTAGGATCATATGACGTTATGATCTGACAATTCCCGTTCCACCCCCACCTCGAGTATACAGTCTTGAGCACCTTTTGCGAAATTACGAAAAGTGATTTTGCACCTAATGTGGCTGCTATAACATTCCAACCTTGTGACTTTCATCAAAAACTAGATGGTAAGGGGCAACCCACTGCGCCGACTACAGCTACTTTTGGCAACACGCATTCGTCTGTGTTTTAGACGTGGACATGGTCGCGTCCGCACCCGCGCCATCCTCGACCGCGGCCGTGTACAATGTCCGCACGGCTTCGCAATGGGGGCATTCCAGAAGAGTTCCCAAGGACACAAACGCCTCCACAGACACGGCCTACGAGTCCCTGCATTGCGATTGAGAGAGAAGGTGAGGATCACAAGGATCATCAAAGAGTTGAGTATCATGTTGACCACCACTATGTGGTTCACCCACATGCACAAAGGCACTTAGCCTGCACCCACAACAAAAACACTTGATTTTATTCGTTTTATAGGCTATATATGTGTGGATTGTTAAATTTTATTTGTCGTGGATCATGTTGGCTTGTTGAATTGTTGTGTGCTATATTTATTGTTGAATGATCTGCTTGCATGGATTTGGGGAGGAGGAATGTGGGGTGTCGTTGCCCTGCGGACAAATGGAGCTTGGGCGGCTGTTGTCCGCAAACAAATGGGGCCAAATTTGATGTTTATGGTTGGACATGCTCTTATGTGTCACAGAAAAGTATTGCTACAACATAATTTAGTGAGTACTGAGGATAACCAATTGCAAATCGTAATAGGAAGCTCAGCTGATGAATAATGGGTTAAATCCTGTAAATTGTGGAACCCTATTTGGTTGTCGATTAGATCATTATCATACTTTACCAGCCTTGTTCGCCTCGTCTTCCTCTAAGACATTAAAGAGTCTATAATGCCTGGAAATAGCGAAGCTCACACTTTTCCTCCACAAGAATTTGTAATATAACAGTGTATACAGAATCAGAAAAATCCAGATAAGAGTAGATTTAAAATATTAAGAGTAATAATATGATATAGCTTGGATTTTAATGCAACAGATAGATCATAAGTGACAATGGCAATTGGCAACAAGCAAACTTACCTTTTAATGGCATACATAAATGTTCCTTCAGTACAGAGTACATTTACAACACGTAGTAGACAGAGATCATTGTGAGAATGGGATGTTTATACCACTCTAATAGCTGATAAGGATTCCATCGATGCAGTGTAAACATCACACATTAGTAAAAAGTCGATGAAGTGATAGTTTTGGAACCTGTTTGAGTAAAATATCAGAAGGGATTCGGTTGAGGCAAAAGATGTTGAAGCAATCTTGTCCGTTGCGCAAACATAATGATTAAATAGTTAATTGCAACAAATCATATTCAGAAACAAATGAAGTAGGTAATGAAACGCTAAAGATCAGAAGGTACTTTTAAGGTAAATTATGTATCAAAAACAAACAATGATTTAGATAGTAAAGAGATCAAGCAATGCTCATGTGTTGGGCAACAGGGATTATCAGCAATTAAGAAAACCAAGTAAAGGAGTTGGTGTATCTAAGTGAATGGCGGAGTTACCCAAAAAAACATTATATTTCGGTATCGAAGCCCAGTTCCTCATTGACTTATGCACAACCTCTGAAGTTGAAGGCGAGAAGTAATTAGGAGAATAACATGTCAGTCATTACTCCATCTTCTATCTTGTTCTCTCAGACTAAAAATGTGGAGATGTCCATGTCTTTTTCAATTACATTGGGGAAAACAAACTCTTATTCTAGCAAACTAAAACTAAACCCACTAAATGCTTATCAGAGGTGCATAAATCTGAATACTGATACCAAAATAATTTGAGTGAGTGCTCAGTTCTTCTTGCATCTTATTCTAGTGAACCGACTAAAAGCCTATCCTAGTTGCAGAATATGAATGCTAATACCAAAATACTTGAGTGCTCAGTTCTTCCATTAGGTTCCATGCTATGCTATCAGATGCACTTTGTAATTTTAGAGGTAAAAAAAAAATGCCCGCCTGCAAGATGTAGTTACTAATTGGTGTTACATATAGCTCAATAGACCAAAAGCTGATCAGATTGCAGAAATTTGAATGCCTATATGAAAATACTTTGAGTGAGTGCTCAGTTCTTTCATTAGGTTCCATCTGCTGCGCTTGGCGCATGCTCCGACTACGCCAAACATCCGTGAGGCACAGCTTGCTGCCGACAGCCGCCAAGTCATACCTCCACCCCCAGTTCTGCCACACCACCTTGGAGCATCGCCAGCCCACCATCCCAGGCACCATCACCCGTCGTCCAACCTCCCTCCCTGGCCAGGGGAGGAGAGGGGGACTTGAATCTGGGCCTGCTCCTGGAGAGATGGAACAGGGGAGCTGGACTCTGCAGTGCTGGGCAAGAAGGTCCAGCAAGGCAGGCGATGGCAC